GTAGGCTGTGTCTCCAGCATTCATTGCACTATAATGTAAATGCTCTTGTTGTGAAGGGCCAAAGTTCAACAACCTTTTTTGTGCTGTAATCTTTTCACTTCTAACTGAAAAACTTACTTCATTTTAGTTACATCTAAATTCATTTATGTCTTTTTCTATCAGCGGTTTCTGTGAATAAATGCTTCTGTGTGTTTTTTTTTCACTTGCATCCAGTTTTTTGATCTCATGTGCTTATTAACATCATCGGTTTTTCTAAGTTGACTCTAGCCGAAAGAAACAACCTCTGCTTCTATTAATGGGTTTTTCTGAATGACTGAAAGTAAATGTATGTTAAAGTGATGACAGAAAAAAACAACATTAAACTCAGCAATGTCTTAGTCTGCATGAGGAAAAACTACAGGACCTTCTCTGAGTATAGATGTGATGTTATTTCTTCATGAAATGGGAAAAACCAAGGTAGATCATGTACATTAAATAATTTAGCCTCCACCTTTTTTTTATTGACAGTGACTAAATATATATAAAGTAGAGCTGTAAATGTGCTGTAAAGATTTAACTTTTTGTTAAACATTTGACTGTTTATCTTTTTCTATTAAAAGGTCTTTCTTAAAAGAAACATTTTTTTGTTTGTATTTACTTAGATAGTCGGAGGTCTTATGACGTCACATGTAATCTTGATCTGATTTCTAACAGTTTAGTGCCGGCATCCCCCAAGTCGGCCCTCGAGGGCCGCTGTCCTGAAGGTTTTAGAGGTTTCCCTGCTTTAGCACAGCTGATTATGATGACTGCAGTTGAGCAAAAGCCTGTTAATCAGCTTTCAATTAAAATCAGCTGTGCTGGAGCAAGGAAACCTCTAAAACCTGCAGGAAAGCGGCCCTCAATGACTTTTGTGGATGCCTGGTTTAGTGGATCCTCTTGCTCGCACTTATCTGAAAAAAACACAGCAGCAAACCCACCACCATTGACTGGAGAAATCCACACATCAGGTGTGGGGATCTGTTAATTGAACGAGTCGTGTTTGTCCACAAATCTGACCTCAGTGGAAGAACAGCAAGAAGAAAACCGTAAAAAGTCTCTCTGAACAGATCCATTTGACCTAGAGGTATAAAAATTACAGGGTGCTTCACAAGGGAAGAAACCGTAAAATATAATAAACTCCCAGTGCTTCAGAAAAAAAAACAAGCTATAAGAAACATAAAGATAAGAAAAGGTACAAATACATCAAAGTGCAACTTGAAAATGGCACAATCAAGCCAATGCGTGCCTAAATAGTAAAGTCTTCAGCTGCTTCTTGAAGGAGTAGGCAACGCCAAGGGACAGAGGATCATAACTCCTTGAATAGTAGCTTAGAACGGAGGTCTTCAACAGGGGTCCGCCCCACAGAGGTACTGCATGGGGGTTGCAGACATTTTCGTTGAGTAGGCTTTTTTTTTTATATTCCCCCCTGCAATTTTTCCACTAATTGAAATGTCTTTAAATACACATGAACATGAATTGAACACACCGTAGTAAACAGATGATGTCTTTCAGTCATCAATGCTCACATTCAGTGACACACCAGAGCTCTTTCAAGCTGGGCACCATTTCATTCACAACACCTGTCCCATCAACAAGGAATCAGAAATACTTTAATAATCCCAGGGAGAAATTACTTTCGTTACATTACTTCATCTGTAATAGAGTGACTATAGGACCAGTTTGATAGAACACAATTTCATACAATATAATTAGGGGGTCCCTGCTCCATCTCACCATCAGTTTGGGGGTCTTGGCCTGGAAAACGTTGAAGAACCCTGGCTTAGAAGTAAAAGTCTCGTCTGGTTTTAAAGTCAGTCCTAGAAACCATTTTGACAGAGATGAAGTCTGGACATGCAAGGCTGCAAAAGTCAGAACTGAAATTTGATGGGAAGGCAGTGAGGTGTGGCTAGAATAAGACCAATGTGAGTTCCTATGCTGGGTCAGTTTAAAAAGCCTTGCAGCAGCAGCGTTGCCAACTTAGCACTTTTGTCGCCATATTTATCAACTTTTTGGATCCCTCTAGCACTTTGATTAAAAAAATTATCCTAGCTCCAAATCTAACGACTTTCTGCTACTGGAAACTTTGGCGGCTACATATAAAAGCACCGAACTCTGCTCTCCAGAGCAAGTAGATTGGTAACCCCGCCTCCTGCTCTCCTCTCTCTTCTCTGCTGTCATGATTCGTGCTGCTTTTATTTCATCCAAATGAAAAATGGAGAACAGAAAAGCAGATCATGGCTTGTCTACAATGAAAAGAAGGAATGGGTTATTTAATTTTACCGTTGCTTTTTTGGAAACACAGGAAGGAGCAATCAGCTTAGTGAGCATAGTGCTTGGAAAATAAATCTTTCGTTCCTTCTGAGACAGCATGAAAAGTCAGCTGAGTACAAAACAGAGAGGAAAACAACAAGAAAAGGGACAAGAAAAATGGGAAAAAACTTAGAACATATAATGTATGTCTATTCTATAAAAATTCCTGTACTTGTATAATGGGTCTGTTTTATGTGTTGTCTTCTCAATTCAAAGGACCCCTGCCCAATGGTGTAACAACACAACAATAGGCCCCTAAGCAGCATTATCTGGGTGGGCCCCATATGAACTAAAACACCTGATTAAGTTACAGGATACGGCCACAGTTCCATCAATCGGCCAAGAACATACAATTATGCAGTTCTCAGTAGTATATGATCACACATCACACACTGAAAAACAGTGACTGCGCACCTTGAATGGAACCATTAGTGACAGCACTGCACCACCACATGTTACAGACATCCCAAGTTCAAAAAACTAATTTCAGGGAGATGCTTTTCTGGAATCCGCTTAAGTTCCTCATTTTGGTATCCATCGTCGCTAAGACATTGTACATAACGGTAATGGTTTTAATCTACACTCTGGGTTACCCATAATTCCAAGTCGTAGTGTAAAAACTAAAATACTCAAATACATCTTTCTTTAAAGATCTATATTCAGGTTTGAAACATTATATGAGTGTATTTTTACCAACCCTCTAATGAACCATACAAAGTTATTAACATAGTAATTAAACGGACTGCTTCGGTGTCGTGTTTAAACGGCTCACCATCATATTAAAATCTGCCATGTGTTGGTAATAAATACGGTCCGGTGCGCTCAGTCACTTCAGGGTCAGGTGGGTGTAAGAGGAATTTTTCGCACCATTACATCTGCAAAGAGACATCCTAGTCTACAATTGCGTAGGAGGCCTACCAGGAGTCAGTGATGGGGCCCCTAAGAGGTCGTGGGCCCGTAAAGCCGTGCGTACACTGTGCAATTTTTTCAATCGTTGACTAAATCGCAGGGTTTCATCGTACAGTGTGAGTTCACAGCTCACGATGTATGTGTAGCACGACGNGAACTGAAATTTGATGGGAAGGCAGTGAGGTGTGGCTAGAATAAGACCAATGTGAGTTCCTATGCTGGGTCAGTTTAAAAAGCCTTGCAGCAGCATTTTGGGCAAGCTGAATGCGATTTAGTCCAGCTTTGGTAGAATAAGTAATACGTTTGGGTTTTTTTTTTTTTTTTTTTTTACCAAGAACTTAGATTGGCATCCAAGTGAATGTGATTGGTCGAACCATAAACCATTTCTAATATCTGACTGAACGGAGGAGCTAAAAAAAAAAAAAGAAAGGTTTCAAGCTTTCTGGAGTTTAAAGGAAATTTTTATTGATTCAAGACTAAAAGAAAATCACTGGAAAAAGAAACCAAACATAGTGCAAATATGTATCTGAATATTATTAGAAATCAACACATGGTCCTTACTATATAAGGACACAGGAGAATGTTTGTGTGTGCTGCTGTTCCAGCAGTTCCTTGAAAACCTTTTTTTTTTCTTGTTTTACCAGCAAACTAAAGATCTTTTCATTGGAAAGTGAGGATATTATTCTCGTCCTCACTTTTCTTTGGTTTGGTGTAGGACCAAGGTGTGAATTCAGTATAGGTTAGGTTGTGGTTGGATAATTCAGTTTCCTGTTAATTCCGTTTATAAAGTATTGATGTTGGATTTACTTACTTTATCAAAGTTTTCACTCAGTCATTTCTCATGTGCAAGGCCAGGCAGTGTTTGAGAGGAGTTGTTGATTTACTATTAGGGATTGCTTGGGACAGAAAGTGGCGGTTCCTATAACAGACCAGATTCCTTTTCAGGGTTTTAATCATAACATTTTACTGCTTTCTTTAACTTTCTTTACACTGTTTGGATTAACTCTGTGGGTTAGGGGGAGTGTTGGCCTAGTGGGTTAGAGCAGTGAGCTTGTGCTCTGACAGGGTTGCAAGTACAAGGTTTCAACCCCTATAGCCTCCACTCTGGGTCCCTGAGCAAGACCCTTAACCTCACACTGCTCCCTGGGTGCCACACAATGGCGGCCCACTGCTTCCCAAGGGGATGGGTTAAATGCAGAGGTAAATTTCTCCAGTTCTCTTATTATCACCTTCACAGCTCTTTTGCAAACTTTAAATTAGTGAGAATAGCTTTGTCTAGCTAGAGCAGGGCAGAACACCGATATGTGTTATGATCTGTCTTGTTCTCATTTTATCTTTGCAAAAACAAATAAAATGCTATATTTAACTGGATTGCATAGTCGAATGCCTATTTGCTACGGCAGTTTTGCATTGTAGGCAGGATCTACTAACTTATTTTTCTGGAAGTATTTATGGCAGAAATGTCTGATCAACCTGGGATTATGTCCTGGCCTCATCCCAATAGAACTTTAAGGAATAGAGGACTTAATGTTTCCAGGGGTTAGCAGGAGCTTCCGAACTGAATTTATTTCATACCGTCCGTATTCCAGCTATTAATCGGATGGGAGCTGTCGTGAACTGAGGTCACAGGAAGCTAATGTTGGATGGTAGATTGTCCACCTTCCTGTTGAAGAGGATGGGGCCTGAAGATGAAGACAGTCAGAAGGTCGACGAATCCCATCTAACATCATAAAGATCCCTTAGAATCCTTGAATCTTGAATAAAACTCTGTAGGCTTAGGGATGACCAACCCGGGTTGGTTGAGTCTGCTGAGGCCAGGTGGAAGAAGTCTCAGTGATGAGGTACGGTTTATCAGCTTTAAGTACAAAAAAGAAGAAAGTATGTCTTTTAATGGTGCATATTTATTCAAAACACACTTGAAGTTGCTCACAATGAATGAAGTAGCCAGATGTTTACTCAAGTAAGAGTAGTGAAACTTGATTATATTTAAAATCAATTAAAAGTAAAAAATAAAGTGCATTAAAACTACTCTTGAAAGTATTTTTTTTTTTCAATTACTCAAGAAAACGTAACTAGTTACTTCCTGTCTCTGAACAAGTAGTCCAGCTAGAGAATCCTTGACAAATATAGTTTTGTCCAACTTTTGGTCGCTTTGGCTAAGAGACAAGAAGGTAAAAAGTTAGAAAAATGATAGAAAGTGGGGAGCGAGGGACAATTTGATTATAAAAACGAAGATCTTTTCACAGCCTTGCTGACTGACAGTGGGACACTGATTTACAAAAACAGAAAAATTGAAGTAAGACTTTCTTTTTGACTAACCTAATCTGACACAAAAACTCTCAATTTCTTGGGCATACATGCATAAGAAATATGAAAACATTAGGAATATGTTTAAAAGTTCCCTTTTCATTCATATTTTAATCCGTTTTCTCATCAATGTCAGCGAGGGGAGTGAATTCTCAGTAGGCAGGTATTTGTCTGCAGGGGGGGTTTACCATTAGCCAATACTAGGCAGTTGCCTAGGGCCCCAAGTTCCTGGGAGCCCAATAAAACTCTGTTTACATGTATAGCTAATAAAACTATTCCTTATTTGTGCACATTAATTAAGGGTTGTGTTTTTTATCCTTTTGCTAAAATGCCATCAGAACTCTCATAATATTAAGTGTTTCTCAGTTTGGCTTGTCTGCAGTGAAAAGAAGGACTGGGATATTTACTTTTGCCATGGTCTTTTTGGAAACACAGGAAGGAGCAATTAGCTAAGTGAGCTTAGTGCTTGGAAAATATATTTAATTCCCTTTGAGACAGCATGAAAAGTCAGCTGAGTACAAAACATAGCGAGGAAAACAACGAAAAAAAAGGGACAAGAAGAGAGGGACAAAACATAGAACATATAATGTATATCTATTCGATTAAAATTTCTGTATCTGTATAATGGGTCTATTTTATGTGTTGTCTGCTCAATTCAAAGGGCCCCCTGCCCAATGGTGTAACAACACAACAATAGGCCTGTAAGCAGCATTATCTGGGTGGGCCCCATATGAAATAAAACACGTGATAAAATGACAGTTCCATCAATCGGCAAAGAACATACAATTATGCAACTCTCAGTAGTATATGATCACACATCACACACGGAAAAATGGTGACTGCGCACCTTGAATAGAACCATTGGTGACAGCCCACCACCACATGTTACAGACATCACAAGTTCCAAAACCTCATTTCAGGGAGATGCTTTTCTGGAATCTGCTTAAGTTCCTCATTTTGGTATCCATCGTCGCTAACACATTGTACATAACCATTATGGTTTTAATCTACACTCTGGATTACCCATAATTCCAAGTCGTACTGTAAAAAATAAAATACACAAATACATAATTCTTTTAAGACCTTTATTGCTGTTTGAAACATTATATGAGTGTATTTTTACCAACCCTCCAATGAACTATACACAGTTATTAACATAGTAATTAAACTGACTGCTTTGGCCCCTAAGAGGTTGTGGGCCCATAAAGCCGGGCGTACACTGTGCAATTTTTTCAATCGTTGACTAAATCGCAGGGTTTCATCGTACAGTGTGAGTTCACAGCTCACGATGTATGTGTAGCACGACGATCTGATGCAATCTACCTGCTTACACTGGACGTCTAAAAACCACGTCGGACTCAGCTTCGCATTGAGATGGAGCTGCTCTGACTCGTCTATCTGGAAGCCGAATAAATAGAAGGGGAATATGAAGCTCACTAGAGTGAAACGCGCTGCATTGGCAATTTGTGCATTTTTTTGCTGAAAGCCCTAAAAAAAAGGTGACAATGTATTTGCACAAAGACATGGCTGAGCAAACGTGGCTACTACGGTCTGTCAATATTACAGACAGAACTCCAGTTCACTCGCACCTCCGCCATGCTGCTGTGTTTACATCTGAGATGAAAAAGAAAAAAAAGAGTCCTTGTTTGTGCATGCCGACTGAGCAATTTGCCCAGTCAGCATGCACAAACACACACTATTCCTGATCGCGAGCTGGTATCGCCCCCCGTACACTACACGATGCACGATCAGGCTGAAGGTCAGGCCGATCAAAAAATTCTCACACGACTTTAAAATCACCCCGAAAAGGTAAAAAAATTGCACAGTGTATGCCCGGCTTAAGCAACTGCTGTCTCTGCTTACCGATAGTTACGCCATTGCCCCAGCCTGTCTTTGCCTAAGGCCAATGGCGTAACTATCGGTAAGCAGAGACTGCAATTGCTTACTGGGCCCCGACCTCTTAGGGGCCCCGTCACTGACTTCTGGTAGGCCCCCTTCTCAATTGTGGACTAGGTCATCTCATTGCAAATGTAATGGTGCGAAAAAATCCGATTATATCCCACCTGAATATATAATAAATGACTGGAGCTTATTTATACCCCAACACATGGCAGATTTCAACATGAGCCATTTAAACACCACACCAATAGCAAAGCAGACAGGAGTACTTTTAATTACTATGTTAATAACTGTGTATAGTTCATCAGTTGTTTAAAAAAATAATACACTCCTATAACATGTTTCAAACCGCAATAAAGATCTTAAAAGAACAATGTATTTGAGTATTTTAATTTTTACACAACAACTTCGAATTATAGGTAATCCATAGTGTTGTACTTCATATGGAGCCCACCCAGATAATGTTGCTCACAGGCCTAATGTTGTGCCATTGCCTAGGGCCCCAAATTTCCTAAATCCGCCCCAGTTTCTCGGCATAACACCCCCTAGTAAATATAATCTAGAACCGCCACTGGTCATTAACATTTATGTATCACATTCTATATCATGGGCGCGGCTGGGTGAGACCTCCTCCCTCCCTCCCTCCATCCTCCCGGCGAGGCAGTGACGTCAGTGCGCTGATAGCTGCGTGGGTCTGGCAGAGCATCCTCCTCACAGCATCCTCCTTATGTAATGCCCGAAATGCTGTCGGATGGATGGGACTAAAACTGGAGGAAACCTGAGTGAAGCTGCGGAACAGCGCGGTGATTAGGGAGGAAAACGGACCGATTGTTAAATCATCAGATTTCTCTCCAAGCATCAGGGGCCTCCTGAAGGGGCGCAGCCTCCTGGATCTGCACACACGCACTTCTTTTTTTCTCTCCAGATATATAATTAGCCTGCATCATACATCTGCTTGGAGAAACCAATGCAGGTTTGTTTGAGAGAAAACAGTCGATCTTTTTCTTTGCATTCCTCTCTGCTCATCCAGCAGCCAGTGCGCTGTAGAATAAATGATGGCGGGTCCAGAGCAGCAGCAGCAGCAGCAGCAGCAGGCAGAGCGCATAGATGATGCTGAGATGGCTCTGCAAGGCATCAACATGCTGCTCAACAACGGATTTAAGGAGAGCGACGAGCTGTTCAAGAGATACAGGTAATTATTTCAACTTACCCAGAACAACAGGTACACAATAATTAGAATAATTACTAACCATGCCATCTGGCTGATGTAACCTGAATGAATTAAACCAATTTATTTGCCATTTAAAGACAGTGAATCCTAACAACCTGCCATTTAAACATGACTGCTTTGGGGTTATGGCCCATCACCCTGGGCGCCTTCACCTAGGGGACAACAAAAGCTCATAAAAGAGTGTTTTTTATATATATATATATATAAACTACTATATATTAGTAGTTTAGTTTATACTTTTTGATAACTGATTTGGTCAGAACTTACTAAATAATTCTATGTTGAATAGGAGTTTCTTACAACCCAAAAAACAAAGAAGGCATAATATTCATCCATCCGTCCATCCATCCATTCACCCAACCGTCTATCCATCCATCCATCCATCCATCCGTTCATCCATCCATCCATCCATTCACCCAACCGTCCATCCATCCATCCACCCATCCATCCATCCATTCACCCAACCGTCTTTCCATCCATCCATCCATCCATCCATCCATCCATCCATCCATTCACCCAACCGTCTATCCATCCATCCATCCATCCATCCATCCACCCATCCATCCATCCATTCACCCAACCGTCTTTCCATCCATCCATCCATCCATCCATCCATCCATCCATCCATTCACCCAACCGTCTATCCATC